GCCTTAGAACAGGGGACCAAGGAAACATCAAACTACAGGGCATCCACCAAAGCAGAATCAGAGGCTCGAAGTTAGCACAACTCATAAAGCACTCAAGACATGTAAGGTTACGGAATTATTAAGCCGTACCCTAGGGGTACAAACTCATGAAACTTTCTTATTTACAGTATAGGTACGTTACTTTAAACCAAAGATGTAGAACCAATGTGCAATTATAAACACTTCAAACACAAGAGTGACCCGTGGAGCCGGTACCATATTTTTGCATTGGCACTACTCAAGAAACAACCAAAGTATGTGCATTACATATATTTAAACACAGGAAAAGGGATAATACACTAACAAGGAAAACTTCTCTCACTCACCAGATTGATGATTATAGTTCCCGTCACTCAGATATAAATGGAGGCCAATAACCTCACAAGCACACACCACACAACCTGTGTGCGTGGAGTCCCAGCCCTCTGTCTCATGGAGTGCAGGGGCGCTCGTCTCACAGAAACGCATGGGAAAACTTTACACACAGAATCATACTACTATTTACTATTACATACTCTCAAATACAAATGAAATATAAAATTTAATACAAATAAAACAAACTGGTATTTTAACTAAGAGAAACATTTACATTAACAACCACAAAAGCTAAACTTTATATACCAGTCATTATGGTGTATATAAAGCTAAACCAACTAAGTAACCATCAATGACCAAAGGACCCCTCTGGAAGCCAAATGACTTGTTCTTCACCAGAAAAAGAGCCAGCTACAAACATAACACCTACCAGGGGCCAAATGAACAAAACCCTGCCTTCGGAGTAGAGCATGAAGCTCTCCAACCTAACAACCAGAAGCAAGAGAAACCAAATAAAAACCAGCGCTGAATGTAATGAAATGCCATTTTCTAGGTGAGCCCCAGAGGCTCCCTGGCATCAGTCAAAGCGAATGGAGTTCTAGGCCTACCAGGGACCATGAGCCAAAACCTCGCCCCCTCAGAGAGGCCCGAGGAGCAATGGCCTATAGAAACCCCTGTATGGTTGAAAGCATTCTATGTCTGCCAGTGACCGGGTCAGGCACTCAGAAAGGTAGGTGCTCCAAAACAAACTATCTGGTTAAACAAAATTGTTATGGAAAGACGAACTGTTGGACAGAACTCCCCAAATGAAAAACGAGCAAATCAGCATGACTTCACAACTGTCACCATGCCGCCATCTGTGCAGCTCCCCCCTCCCTGGGAGGGAGAAGGGGGAGCCCCAGACCCCTGCAATGGCTATCCATACCCCAGTTTCTGAGGCTGCATGTCAAAACATGCAAAAACCGCCGATCGGAGGGAGGAGATTGCCAGGGAGGCTTCGGGTCTCACCCAGAAAATGGTGTTTCATTACATTCAATGCTAGTTTTCTGAGGGGGAGCCCCTTCGGCTCCCCGGAGCTAGTTAACCAAAGAGAAAACAAGAGGGACTTACCCGGGAGGCGGTCGCCATTCGCTCCTCAACTCAAAGTCAAGAAAACTCGCTGCAAGGGAACTATGATATGGAGCCACAGTGGAACTGGGGTTAAGAGGTACAGGTAACCCCACCTCGACCAGTCCTGCCTGAAGGCATTGACCCTGACTTCCTCACAGTCGGGGAAGGGCGCCACATATACTGGGAGACGCCTCGACCATGCTGACGTGATGAGGTCCACCTCCGGGAGCCTGAACTTCCGGCAGAGCCAACTGAATGAGTCGGCGTTGACCGTCCATTCTGTGGACAGGGGAATGAACCGAGACAGGCCATCTGCCAGGACGTTGGACACCACCCGAATGTGAATGGCCAGGAAAGCCAAACCTCGAGAACTCAGCAGATGAGTCACCCGAAGCAACCAGACCCAAGAAAGCCAAGGACCACATCGAACCCCCGCGGTTCAGGCAATGAACCACTGGCGAGCAGTCTGAATGGAGCCGGATCGTCGATCCACGAGCGACCCCGAACTCTCCTAAGCGACATCCTCACTGCTGCAAACTCTAGCACTGTGCTGTGGGCCTGATGGAAGGACAGACCCCACCGCCCCTGGCTGGCCTGGTGAGCACCGGTCACAAAGCCAAAGCCAAGAGACGACACGTCCATGAACACATTGAGCGAGGGCTCGGGTAAGCATCAAGGCACTGAACACTGAAAAACCAGAAGAGGAAGCCGGCAATGCAGTAGCCGACATAAGGCACCCAGAGGCCGAACCCAGCAATCGCGAGAGGCAGAAGGGACATCCCCAAAGGAACCAGAACAGCCGCCGAAGCAAACCCGACCCAGCGTGTAGACCCCATTGGCAAAGTTCAGACTCCCACACAAACCCTCGAGCAACTGCCTCATGACCTGGGAGCCACCCAAAAACAGGCAAAGGCGGGACCGCAGCCGCAGCAGAGCCTCCAGAGGGAGAGACAAAGAAGCGGTCCGAGAGTCTCACAAAAGACCTAGCCTAGACCGAACCTGGGACAGAACCAGATGAAGCTTCCTCCAGTTCACCAGGAACCCAAAAAGCTGAGAACCCACTTGTCTGCTCGCCACACCCCTGGCGACAGACAAGAAGACTGACTGGAAGCCAACACCAGCCAGTCAGCGAAGTAGGCCAGGGGTGAACCTGGCCTACCCCTAGTAGATGCAGACAGGTCACCACAACCCGGGTAAGATGTGTGAATACGTGTCATATTCGCGTGAATACGCGAATATGCCAGATTCAAGCCAAAAAGAAGGCAACAAAAGCGGTAAGCCTGATGCCCCACCACGAAACCTAACCAGTCCCTGAACCCCGGATGAATAGGAACGTGCCAATATGCATTGGCACGTTCAGGGGGGGGGGGGGTGTCCCTGGATGGTGTTCCTTGAAGTCCAGGGACACCATCCAGGCACCCGGCTCCAATATATGCCAGGTCTAAGACAGTAGTCATCCAAAAGGAGGTGCAAGGAATCCAGGGGTTCAGACGGGACAAGTCCAGAATGAACCGCAAATCCGCACAGTTCCGCTTTGGCACTGGAAGCAGGTGGGAAACCTACCTGAGGGACAGAGTCATTTCGACTACGCCCAAGCGCACCCACTCTAAGATGGCCCGACAAAGCGAAGGGGAAGAAGCCTGCCCCGCCAGCCCCGAACCCCCCATAAAAGGAGGAGCTGCCAAACGCCACCACAGGCCGGATGACATGACTGAAAATGCCCACAAATTGTGTGACCAAGCATGAGCAAACCAAGGGAGCCTCCCCCCTCCCATCGCCCCGTCAACAGGGTAAACCGCGAAAGAGGCGACACCCCTTACAAGAAGCCAACCGCCAAACAGAGCGATCATTGTGCCGACCAGACATGCCTGCTCTGAAGGCAACGTCGGCTCAGAAGCTTGCACCAATGGCCTCCCCTTGACTAGTGGAACGCCGAGCCCTAGCATGACCATTCCGAGAAGGCCGAGAACGGAATCCGAGTCTTGCAGGAGGTATGCAGCAAGAGCCTCCCGAACCTCCCGTGCGGAGATATAAGAAGCAGAAACCTCCAGAAAGATGGGGCTGAGGTACATAAAGGGGCCCAGAACCGAATCCGGGGAGGAGCTGAACCCAAATTATACTCATACAGGAAAAGGGGGGATAAGAAAACCCCTTTCCCTGCAACAAGCCCTGCAAAGAGGGCACTAGCAACCAAGCAGGGTCAAAGATGGCCCAAAGTACCCCAGGTCGACTCCTCCCCAGCCCCGGGATCCTCCAAGTTGGGACCCAGGGCAGAGCAGTCCTCCATACCTTCTACCCCTGAAGAAAAGACAGAGTCCAGGAGAAAGGCTGACAAGAAGTGGGCCTGCTGTTGGGACCCAGAAGCCTCAGCAGGAGGAACCGGCACGAATGCCTCTGTCCCCCAACCCGAACGGGGCAGCCTCCGAAGCTGCCCAAGTCTCATTACCAACTAAACCCTACTCCGACTCCGAAACCCTCAGACGTTTGGGAGTTGGAAGCTGAGGGGAAGGTGCAGGATGAACAACAGGGGAAGAACCATGGAGCGCGGACTGAACCAAAGTCGAAGTGACTAACGCCGCCAGGTCTGGGTCCCTATAACCAAAGCAGAGCAGCCGCAGGGCATCCGGGCAGGAAACCAACCTAGCGCATTGCAGCAACCTGAACCTAGCATGCAACGCAGATGCTGCCTGTACCCTAACCGCAAGATCATCAGAGTAATACTGGAGCACAAGCAGAGAACACGATTTGCAAGACTCCGGGTCAAAGGAGTCATTGACCCAACAGGCAGTATGACGGAGGCAAAAGAGGTGACTGTCACCCTGAGACAAGAGTAACCTTCAAACCCACATAAGGCGGGTTGAGACCCGGAAGATACATCCATTGGTTCACCGAGCCCCGACAGGGTTTTCTAGGGCCCGTAGGTAGACTGCTACAGGAAGTCCGGGCAAGGTGTTGCTAACCAGTTAACCTCAAAGCTAACAAGGGGGAAGAGAACAACATTGAAATCCCTGCAACATGTACAATTACGGGGGACAAGCAGAGGACCACCAATATAATACAAGTGGAACTATAGCCACACCAGACAGACACCTTGATGCCCCAACCAGCACGATACCACTTCCTACCCAATGCTAAACAAGGGCCCCAAAACCCCATGTTGGGCCCAAGGGCGAGGTAAATGGCAAGCAGCAAGAACCTCTATGGAACTGGTTCCCGAACGTACCAGGGAAGAGAACCCTAACACGCAAGAGCAGTACTCACAGGACGCTTAAGGAAGGAAGCCCCTAAGCACATGCAGCCCCAGCACTGATGAGTAACTCCTGGCCACCACACACAACAATAATTTCAATAAACTTTTCAATAAACATTTCAATAAACACGTCCTCATATTTTACTAATAAGTAAAATTATTGCTACATATGCATAAAGTTAATATGCTGTAATGAATCGTAACATTTTTATTAAAAAAATATATAACCAGCTAATTTATAACTAAAGCATTACAGCAAATGTATATTCAGAACAAAAAATCTTACTTGGTTCACTTTCTACATAGTAGTAGGCACATTTACTACTCTTAATGAGTTCATCCACAGATAATGATGTGACCTTCGGATCAACTCCTTCTTGACATATAAGGTATGGCTTCATCTCAGAATCACTTGTTACAGGATTATAAAACCAATTTGTTTTGGGGCATTCTTTTACACACACCTGAAAAATATATAATGTTTATTATACAGTACAGTAACAGAAATATTGATCATAACTTTAATAAATTGAATGTATTATTTACTATTTTTGTTATATTCTCTTCACTCCCCATTTTATCTCTTCTCTCTGTTTCTTTCTCTGCTACTTTATGGTACAGATATAGTTATTTTTTTTTTTTTCACTCTTATCATAGAAATGATAAAGAAACTTATAAGTACAGTTGATGGATGACTGGTAAAAACCAGCATTGAATGAAATTAAATGTTTCAGATGGGTCCTCTGCAGCTCACTGTTGCTACCAACAAGGATAACTACATACAATATGAATCACACCAGGGCCCCTTGCGAGTTATTGTTAAGCTACCGGAGACTAGAGCCCAAAACCTGGCCCCCCTCTATTAGAAGCACAGGGAGTTGAAGACACTAGATAACTTACACCAAGATAACTTACACCAAGAAACACCACGTGAAAGGTAGAGCAAAACAAAATGGACAACAGCAAGGTAAATTTAACAGAAAACCCCCCCAAAAAACTTTTCACCACCAGATGGCAGTACATCCTAAATCTCAAGCCCAGAAAACATAGGCATTTAAACATGCAGTTGCCACATACCTACATCTAGGGGCAAAGAAGGCACAAACAAGTAAGCCTCAAGCAGGTAAGCCAGAAAGAAGTACCACCCAAAAATACAATTCCAGGCACAAAATAGTAACAGGAATTGATAAAACTGACAGAGGCATTGTTGAAAAATTGCAACTTCAAGAATAAGAAGTCATAGATTCAAGTTATGAAAACAAAAGATGTCAAAAGTTCTGCTTTGCAAACAGAGTGGTACATGGATGGGACTAAGTTAAGAGAGTAAGTAGTGAATGCCACAACCATCAGCATTTTCAAAGCATCATATAACAAAGAGTACTGAACAGATAGGACACCACAAGCATAGCTCCCATCCTATAATTACACTTGGGTAATTCCACCTGTAATATTGACCTCACACCACTCGAGTGTTTGGTTACGAAAAAAGCTCTGTTAGCCTCCAGGGTAAACAGCGGGTTGCCCGTAAGCCAGGACAAATCAGGGGTGTCGTTGCGCAAGCAAAATACTGTGGCCAACCCAAACTCAAAATAAGATGGGTCCATCAAGGTTGCTTTGTCCTGATCCTGGAGGAGGAACTAGTATATATACAGTATCCCCATGTGCCTAACAAGGGGTGAAAGATAAGTACAGTGGAACCTCAGGTAGCGAACGTGACTCTTTATAAATTTTTCGGGTTACAAACTCAATTTCTTCGGAAAATTTGAATCGGGTTACAACCTTTGCGTTGCCTTGCGGTTTTGTTGATACACTCATGGGTCTATCGAACACGTGGTTCCTGGTGGCACGGGCGAGGCGTACCTCAGTTTACTATTGTCACCCACCTAGTGATGATCACTCTTGAATATTGTATTTGGGAGGACAACAGGATGGATGGTGGGGGGAGGGACTGGACGCATGGGTGGTGGAGGGGAACTGGATGAATGAATGGTGGAGGGGGACTGGATGGATTGATGGTGGAAGGGGACTGGATGGATGGATGGTGGGGGGAACTGGATGGATGGATGGTGGGGGGAACTGGATGGACGGATGGTGGAGGGGGACTGAATGGAAAAAAACCAGCGTTGAATGTAATGAAACGCCATTTTCTGGGTGAGCCCCGGAGGCTCCCTGGAGCTTATCGGGCTAATGTGTGTTATGTTAGACCGGGACATTAGCTATGGAGTTCAGACCTACCAGGGACCAGCGCCAGAACCTGGCCCCTTCAGAGAGGTTTCAGGGAGCAATGGCCCTGGAAAACCCCATATGGTTGGGGGTTTTCCTTATCTGCCATCGACCGGGGTTAGGCACCCAGAAAGGTAGGCGTAACAAAACAAACCCCACATGGTAAAAAACTACAACAAAAACCGAACAGAGAGGTAGAAAACTCCCTACAATCCCAAGGAAAACAATCAAACAATCAATTTACTGCCGCGCCGGTCGTCCGCGCAGCCCTCCCCTCCCCGGGAGGGGGAGGGGGGGGGCCCCGGACCTCACCGCGCCGGCTGCCGTCAGTTCGGAAACTAGGCTTCAACCAACGCGAAAAATCCCGCCGACCGGATGGGAGGGAGGGTAACCAGGGAGCCTCCGGGGCTCACCCAGAAAATGGCGTTTCATTACATTCAACGCTGGTTTTCTGGGGGGAGCCCCTACGGCTCCCTGGAGCTACATACCCAAAGAGAAGGAAAAATGGGACTTACCCGGGAGGCGGTGGCCACAAACTCCTCAACTCGAAGTCGAGACAACTGGCTGCAACCTGCGACCCAAAGCAACACAAGAACGACGAGGAGCAGGGACATTCACCAAATAACGGGCGGCCAGGACCCTGTTCGACTTCCAAAATCCACGCGCCCGAATATGAGCCCAAGACATATTACCAAACACGGCAGCCAAAGCCGCAAACTTCCTAACGTCATGGGCGCGAGGATAGACCGCAGGCTGGCTAGATTTAATAACCCTGCGGACAACCTGGGAGACCCGAGCCCTGGAACAGGGAACGAGGGAAACCGGATCAACCCAAAGCGCATCCCCAGCCACTCCGGCCGAAGCGCGCAGGTAACGGCGAAGTGCAGCAACAGGACACAACACATGATGCACCCCCGGCCGAACCAACCAAGCATCAATGACCCACGGACCCCTCCGGAAAGCAGCCGTCTCGTTCTTCGCCAGAAAGGACGGAGAAGGCTGCAAACGGACAAACCTACCCCCAGGACCAAAAGAGCAGTAACCCCTGCGCCGGAGGAGAGCATGAAGCTCCCCTACCCGGCCCCCAGAGGCCAATGCCAACAAAAACAAAGCCTTGGAAAAACAATCAGGAACCGAAGGGGCCACCACAAACCGAGGAGAGGAAAGATAGGAGAGCACCCTGTCCAAGGACCAGGACGGCTCAGGCGGCGCATGAGCAGGCCGGAGGTGAAACATAGCACGGGAAAGCTTACGAAACGGGGCGGATGTGACGTCCACCCCGAAAGCGAGCTGGAGCGGCTCCGCCAGCGCCGCACGATACGAGGCGACAGTATTAGGCATCAAATGACGGTCCTGAAAAAGCCAAGTAAGGAAGGACAAAACAACCCGATCCGAGAGAAAAGACAACCTACGAAGAGCCAGAAAATGGCGAAAGGAACGCCAGGAAACTTCATACTGTCGCCTAGACGAAGCTCTCAGGTGGGACACCATCAAAGAAGCCACCTGATCACCATAGAAATGGTGATACACCCGCGTCAAAAAGACCAGACGCGAAGAGCAGAGGAGAAGGTCGAACCAGCCCCGTACCGGATCGGGCCGACCTGCTGAAAGAGGCGGAGCCGCGGGAAACGTCCCGGGTTCGGGCACCGAGCCAGAAGCACCGGAAACCAAGGCTGGGCCGGCCACCAAGGGGCCACGAGGACTACTCTCCCCGGGAATGTCTCTAACCGAACCAGAACCCGAAGCAACAGCTGGACCGGAGGAAAAAGGTACAGGTAACCCCACCTCGACCAGTCCTGCCGAAAAGCATCCACCGCGAACGCCTCGCAGTCGGGGAAGGGCGTCACATATAGAGGGAGACGCCGGGACCACGCCGACGCGAAGAGGTCCACATCTGGGAGACCGTACGTCTGGCAGATCCAACGAAACGAGTCGTCGTCGACCGTCCATTCCGTGGACAGGGGAAGGAAGCGAGACAGACCGTCCGCCAGAACGTTGGACACTCCCCGGACGTGAACCGCACGGAGAGCCAAACCCCGAGAATCCAGCAGACGAACCACTCGAAGGGACCAACCCCAAAGAGCCAAGGACCGAAGAGAACCCCCGCGGTTCAGGCAATGAACCACCGGAGAACAGTCCGAATGGAGGCGAATGGTCGATCCCCGAGCGACCCGAACCCTCCGAAGCGCGAACCAGACAGCCGCGAACTCCCGAACCGTGCTGTGAGCCCGATGGAAGGACGGACCCCACCGTCCCTGGCCTGCCTGGTGAGCACTGGTCACAAAGCCCCAGCCGAGAGACGACGCGTCCGTGAACACATCGAGCGAGGGCTCGGGAAGGCGCCAAGGCACCGAACCCCGAAAAATCCGAAGAGGAAGACGGTGACGCAGCAACCGACATAAGACCCCCGGAGGGCGAACCCAACGATCGCGAGAGAGGCGGAAAGGACGTCCCCGAAGGAACCAAAACAGACGCCGAAGCCAAACCCGACCCGGCGGGTAGACTAGCATGGCGAAGTTCAGACTCCCGCACAACCGCTCGAGCAACCGCCGAGTGACCCGGGACCCTCTCAGAAACAGCAAACGGCGGTCCCGCAGCCGCCGCAACGCCACCGGAGGTAGAGACAAGGAAGCGGTCCGAGAATCCCAAACAAGACCCAGCCAGGTCCGAACCTGGGACGGAACCAGATGGGACTTCCTCCAGTTCACCAGGAACCCGAACCTGGCGAGCTGGGAAAGAACCAAATCCCTGGCGAGCAGACAAGCTGACCGACTGGGAGCCCACACCAGCCAGTCGTCGAGGTAGGCCAAAACCCGAATCCCTAGAAGACGCAGACGGGTCACCACAACTCGGGTCAGACGCGTGAAAACGCGAGGTGCCAGATTCAGGCCAAAAGGTAGGCATCGAAAACGGTAAGCGTGACGCCCTACCACGAAGCCTAACCAGTCCCTGAACCCCGGATGAATAGGAACGTGCCAATACGCGTCCTTTAGGTCCAGGGACACCATCCAGGCACCCGGCTCCAACAGAAGCCGGACCTGAGACAGAGTAGTCATCCGAAAGGAGGGGCAAGGAATCCAGGGGTTCAGACGGGACAAGTCCAGAATGAACCTCAGATCCGCACAGTCCCGTTTCGGCACTGGAAACAGGCGGGAAACCCACCTGAGGGACGTAGTCGGTTCGACCACGCCCAAGCGCACCCACTCCAAGATGACTTGACGAAGCGCAGGAGAAGAGACCT